CTCACCTGAGAGCACAACGGGGAAGCCAACTGGAGTTAGTCTTCATTTTCAGCAGGAGTAAGTTCCTCCTGAGAGTAAGTTCCAGCACACCTCTGGGAGCTACAGTCACTCACTGATTCTTTTGCCTCATGTGATCTCAGATACAGGCTTCTTATGAAAGGCTGGTGAAATATTTATTTCCTCTAAAAAAAAAAAACGTGCTGAATAAAACATTCTTTTTGCTACCTGAAAAGGTAATTTTTTCTTGTTCTTTGTTCCTTTGTTTTTCTTTTTTAAAGAATATTTCCCAATGAAATTTCCCAATGTGTGTTGGTTACTTTTCTCTCATTGCTGAGACAAAACACCCAGCGCCCAAAATTAAGGAGGAAAAGGTTTATTTAGCTTACAGTTTGTGGAGGTTTCAGTCCATACTTGGCTGGCTCCGAGGCAGAAGGTAGCAAAGCAACAAGAGCAAGGCGGGAATGGCAGTAAGCAGCCTCTTTCCCTCCCTTACAAATAAACAGGCTACCCCCACCCGGGGGGGCGGGTGTAGCACTCACATAATCTCCATGCCTTCTTCTTCCACGAGGTGCAGGATGTATACAAAGTAAGCACCCTGGCTTCCTGCTGAGTCACTTAGCCAAACCTCTAGACTCCTTCCTCAGTTGACACAGTGTATCAACCATAACACAATGAAATTGTTTAGCTGAAATTATTTATAAATTGATCATCACATCACGATGAATAATTTATTTTTTTTTCTCCATAGAGAATCTTTGGATGAGGTCAAGAAGGTATTGGAACTCTGGTGAAAGTAACAAGGACAAGTTTTAAATAAGAGTTGAAGTTGCCACAGGAGAAAAGAGAAGAAAAGCACCCACACTCAGGAGAAATCCTGCGCTCGCTTAGAGCACAAGCTCAGCGCCGCCTACAATCTTTGACACCTACAGGAAGAGTGCTGAAGTGTTCTCTTTCTTTATAAAGCTCTTTGTTCCAAGTATTAAGTCTATTTCTCTTCTGGTTGCTTTGCTTTCGTTTTAAAGAGTGAACAATGGCACTTCAGTTAGTTCAGTGGAATGGAGATGGAAGAAAACCCTGGCCTTAAATTGCCACCTCCTCTCTTAATACAATTAATATGTTTCAATGATATTTTCCCCTTGTGGCAAGTCACTTCATTTTTAGAATTTTTTCTCATATTTAACACTTATGAAATGTAAAGAACTAAATGGTTGAAGAGATTTAAACATTTCACCTGAGTTTTATTTAAATAATAAGCACAGGCCAAGTGTACTGGTCAGCTTCTCCACTGCAGGAACAAAATATCCAATACCCACTATTTAAAGATTTAATTCAGCTCACAGTTTTGGGGGACCCAAACCACAGTCAGCTTGCGCCAAAGCAGGAACATCTTGGTGGAAGAGTGAGGATGGAGCAACTTGCTCCCTTCATGGTGGCCAGGAAGCAAAGCACTGGGAAAGAAGACCAGAGGGAAGTGGTCAGGGACCACCTAGAGACCCCAAGGTCACACCTGCATGACCTACCCCGACACACCAGACGGGTAACTTACTAATCCCCTAGATCAGTGATGGCGAACCTTTCAGAGCTTCCAATGGTAGCAAACAGCCGACTACGGCACACATGCTGTAGGTTCACCTCCACTGCCCTAGTACTCCCAAGCCAACCAAGTGCACAATTAAGCTTACCATCACATGGAGGCATACAGATTTCTGAGCCAAAACTCCTACATTTATACTTACGTTGCCTTGAGCACATTAAATCCTGGCTTCCTAGTCATACAGTGGAGATGCAAATACCTGCTTCATAGTTTTCCTCAGAAGACTAATTCTGAGCTCACAAATGCCTGGCAAATAGCAACTGCTAACTGGCACCAGTTAGTGATGTTTTCATTATGATGACATTACAGTGGCTGTGCTGACCTCCATCAGTCATGGTGATGGGTCCGCGCACTCCACTTGAACCATGCTTTCAAGACTCTTTCCCTTTATTGTGTCCTCATTTTCCCCTAAATGCTATTAGAGAGTCTCTCATACCTACAAGGGTTACAGATTTGCATGCCTGACTCCTCTCACTCAGATAATAAGCTCATTCAAGGCAAAGATGATGTCTGACTCAGCTCTGACCCGAAGAACTATACTCCTTGTCAATGCATATTAGGCTCAAACAGATGCTAAGCCCTGCTGCAAGCATCCAGCCTGTGCAGCCTCACTCTTCTGTGAGCATCGTGTCAGTCTACTTCTGTGAAGTATGGATTACTACTGCAGGACCTTCATTTCTCAGATGAGAAAACTGAAGCACTGAAAAACTGACAGCTTGACAAAGGTCACATAGTAAGGGCTGCGACTGATGACTTGAAGCCAGGCTTTCTTTCCAGGCTTTCTTGTTCTATTGCCTCTCAGGAATACGCACTACATACAATCACTTGGACATGTTCCTATCCTTCTCAGCAAAAAGGAAAACCAAGCATACATGCTATAACCCAAAAAACCCAAGTGAACTCACCAAGGAATATACTTCTACCTCAGTTATGACCCAAGTTAGGAGTCAAATTAGCTATTCTTAGTCTAGGGGTTCTCAAACTATAACATGTGCCAGGATTACAAAGAGCCCTTGTTAAAAGACAAGTCTCCACAGAGTGTTTTATTCAGTGTGTCTGGGGAATTTACATTTCTAGTAAATTCCAAGATGACACTAATAATGCTGGTCTGAAGTCTGCTGAGAAACACTCTTCTACTCCGAAATTCAACTATTCTTTGTGCCTTCATGATTTCTTGATCATTTCCTAAGATCACGTGGCATTCAGTTGTTCTGTGCCTGCGCCTGCAGCCCAGTGCCGTGGAAACCTGACTGTGATTTTCACTCACAAACTGAAGAGATGGCACTCCGGCAGAATCCCCAGCACGCAACAGAGTCAATGAGTGTCCAGCACTGGTCACAGAACAATTCAGGCACTAAGGAGACAAGTTCCTAGATATCATGAAGAGTTAGGTTTGACGGGGAACTATGAGTTTGTGGGTTTAAATTCCTGCATTTTGTTTGAGAAAACAAATGAAATTGCTACATGGCCATTAGGAGTTATGTACTACATAGAGGAGCATTATTCTGAATAAAATACAATGTGTCACTAGTGGTAGAACAATATTTTTGAGCTGTAAAAGATTTGTCTTCCCTCCCTTACTTTGTCTTTCTCTTTTCCTCTATCCAAGCAGTCAGGTCTGCTCTCAATTTGCTGCCCAGAAGAAAGAAGGCATCATAATGGAAAGAAAATGGTTAATCTTATTGCTTTAGTTTCCTAATGCTCAGTCCCTGGAGTTAATTCAAAGGGGAAATCACATGAAGTTAGAGAGGGCTCTGTGATGCCTTCAGCATAGAAGGGTGAAACCTCAAGGGAAGGTTATGAAAGCAGAGACCTGGGAGTTATGAAAGGAGCAATGAGCGCTGTGTCCTTCGATAAAACTTTCTGGAGCCAGCGAGGACATGCTGTACCCTGCACTGAACAAGATCTGCCAGGGGAAGCCTCTGAAACGTTCACACTCTTATGCTGCAGAGAAGCACCAAGAAGATCTGCACACAGTGAAGCATAGTGGAAAGTGAGAGGACCTGACAGGAGCCTCATATGAGAAGTGGGGGACTAGCGACCTGTGGAGGTGAATGAGACATGGCTTTACACCGCAAACGAGGCATTCATCAAAGCTCCCCATTCCAATGTCTTGGAAAATTGATTCCAACTTAAACACAGCTCCCACAAGACAGCAGGAGGCCATACTGACTGAGGATTATCCACAGAAAGGCTTGCCTAATTGAATTTGTGGAAAGAGAACTATGTTCAGTAACAATTCAGAGGACAGCCTTAAACCTACATACTTGGCATCATAGTTTGGACCTAAGATTCCCCTAAAGGCCAGCTGATGGACTCTTGGGAAATGATTGCATTGTAAAGCTGCTGGCCTCACCAATGTACTGACCCAATGGTGAATTCATGGTTGCATGGATTATGAGGAAGTGTGCCTAGCTGCAGGGAGTAAGTCGTGGGAGGGCGGCCTTGGGGACTATGTCTTGTCCCTGGACTCCTCCTCTCTGACTCTTTCTTCCCAGGTATTTGTCCCAGCAGTGGAAAATTGGCCAGCACACTTAGTAATGAGTCCTGTATAATATTTACCATCTCAGAGGAAAAACAAAGCTCTTATGAGCTCTAGGAAATAACAGTAGGAATCAACATATGAAAAATAGCTTAAGATTCTTAATGGATCCCCAGTAGATGGACTACATTATCTACATCAGATGGAATTTCTTTCTGCATGTCAAAAAAAGAGTTTTTCACTTTATGCAGTGTTTTTGTTAGAAAATTTCGGAGACTTACCTATAATTTAGAGTGGTGGTTTGAATAGTTTCTTTCTGATATCATTTCTCTGTTTCCATTTTTTTTTTACATTTCTTTGCAAGAACTGGGATGTGGGAAAAAAGAAGGGAAAGAAGGAGAAATTTTGTATGTATGTATATACAGGATAGTTAACATAGTTGTTCTACTGTCTTCTATTTCTTTGCTGAAAGAAACTGTTAATGAGGAGCTGGGGATTTAGCTCAGCAGCACAGCACCTGCCTGGCAAGCACAAGGTTGTGAGTTTGATTCCCGGTACCAGAAAAAAAAAAAAAACTGTTGAGTCCTTGATTGATCAATATTGCATGTCTCTGTTTTCGTGAGAAACCACTTTGAAGATATCAATATGTAATACAACAAGCACTGTTAATTTCCTACCACTTTGTTTGTAACTCTGTATTGTCTGTACTGTTCTTTTGCTATTTTGTAAAAGGTTGTCTGTCTGTTAATGTTTTCCTCCTTTTATTTTTAAAATTAAAAAAAAAAAACTCCATGGTATAATAAAAGATTTACAACTCCTGCAGCCACTGGGGCCCTCCCTTCCTCCTCCTCCTCCTCCTCCTCCTCCTCCTCTTCCTCTTCCTCCTCCTCTCTTCTTCTTCCTTCCTTTCCATCAGGGGAGAGGGCTCCATCTGGCTTCAGTTTTCTGTATTCTGAAAAACAAATAAGTAAGAGTTACATATCCCAAAATTGGGTTTAAAATCATTTCAAGTGCTTAATATTTTTCTTTGTATCCCATTCCCAGCTCCTCCTCACCCAACAGTTTTATTACTGGAAACTGTGAACCAAATTCTTTCTTAGACCACTTAGACAGTATAATATAGCCCATTTAACCTTCCAAAGTTTAAAGCTATGAAATAGAGCTTAATGACAGGGACCGAGGAATATTCATTTGTTAAAACTGCCCTTAGCATGTATCTTTCCCTTGTGTGGCATAAATAATATTTTCTCTGTAGGTTTTCAGCTAGTCACTCTGCTCCTTGCTGACCCAAAGCCTGAGAACACAGCTACCACAGGGGCTCTCTGACATGCGGGGGGACATCTTGGGAACATTGATGAAACTGATAAGAGGCCATTTTATAGGACCTTAAAAGCGACTCAAGAAACTAACGAGGTCCATTAGACTTTCTGTCATGCATATGATGGGAAAAAATATACCACCATAAGATCCACTCGATTGTCCCACAGTGACAGCAGTGGCCATTGTGTGCCGGAGCCCGGACCGTGGCTCCACCGCGCTGTCTCTGCTCCACTGGCTGGGGGCAGTTTCAGGTCCGGCTGGGTAACAGAAGGGGCTTTGTGATAGGCTATCAGTGACAAACAAGAACAACAACGCACAGCCCCGTGGGTTGACAAGGAGGAGAAACTCAACAAAAGGAGACTGACCCGCTGCAGTTTCCTGTTTCAGTCTGACATTTACTTCCTCACACAAAGCTCAGCGTGGCGGGTTAGTGTCCAAATCACATCTGAACCTTGTACGGAGTGACGGGAATCAAGCTGAGATATTTTAAGCGGATTTCTTTTCTTTGCACACTACTTTGAACTGCTTTTAAACCTACAGACATTTGGCAGAACTGCCTACATTAAAACAGCTGAGAAAAAGCCACACACAAAGACTGTTCTATTTTTATAGATCTGTGTGTGTAGGTAAGTTAGCTGTGTGGGGTTGGCCCAGTCGCTGCTATGTATACAACTGAGAGTCTAATAAGTAAGTTCTCCCCTTTTTCATTAAAACAGGCTTCCTTTTCTCATCAAGAGCTATCTAAACTCTCAATTCAATAAGTAATTGACGGGGCTGGGGATTTAGCTCAGCAGCACAGCACTCGCCTGGCAAGCACAAGGTCGTAAATTTGATTCCGGTACCAGAAAAAAAAGAATAAGTAATTGATTACAGCTTCAAACCTGTATTACACTGCATCTTAGTGGAAAAGACAGATGCAAAGATGAGCAACACATGGTGTGGTGACAGAGACACGTGGCCCAGTGATTTACAAGGCAAAACATGTTATTAGCCAAGCCATATCTCCTAGCAAGTTTTTTGTCTTTCCTTTTGTTTTTTGGGGCAGGGTCTCACTATGTAGTCCAGGCTGGCCTCAAACTCACAGCAATCCTCCTGCCTCAGCCTCCTGAGTGCTAGGATTGCAGATGTGCACCACAAGGCCTGGCAGCAAGGCATTCCTTGGCTCGCTGATTCCATCTTCATATCTCTGCATTTCAAGACACATGATGTACTCTCTTCTTACATGCTCACAATCAGAAGTCAGTTTACCTGCCAGAGGGACGTTAAGGAAAAGAGTTAAAATGCATCAGGGAAACAGTACAGGTATTTTTTCCATCAAAGTTAACAGACCCTAATAGATTATAGAGCTGTTCCTCAGCTTTAATGTCAAAACAAGACTTGGATCTGGTGTGACAACAAAAACCAGACAGCCTTTTGTCTCCTCAATAATTTCTCCCATCTGCTATTTGGCCCTGCATTCCATTTCTGTATTTCCTCAAAGAAGAATATAGAAAATACCCAGCATGTGCTCGGCACAATCTTGGTGCCAGGCCCTGTGCTAACAGAGACAGCAGAGACAGCTGACTCCTTACCCAGCTCTCCCACCCTGCAAGACAGAATCCACAGCTACTGTGTTTGTCTCCAATGCTCCTTATGAGGTCCACAGCTGCTCTTAAGACCAGCATCACATACTGTGGGGAAGGGATCAAGGGCGTGGGGGCTGCCTAGGATCCTACCAATGTTTTCTACCTTTATCACTGACACATGTGTACACATGTTCTCATAAAAAGAAGTCTACTGCTTTATGAATCCACTACTTACTGCAGATTTCATCTTTAAAAAATAATGTGCAACAACAAAAAGGAACCACCAAGCAGAGCAAGCAATTAAACAGAGGGAAAAAGAGGCTCCAACAGCAGGAAAATAACATGACAAAGATAAGCCAGTACATATCTGTCATAACTATCAGTGTAAATGGTCTCAATGCATCAACCAAAAGAAGCAAACTTGCAGAGTAGATTAGGAAACAAAACCCAACTATAGGCTGTATACAAGAAACACATTTAACTCAAAAAGAAATTCAAAGACTGAAAATTAAAGGATGGAAAACAATACTCCATGCAACAGGAATCCAGAAAAAAGCGGGGGTAGCTATTCTGTTTCAATCAAAAGAGATAAAGAAGGTCACTACATACTTGTGAAAGGGAAGCTTCAAAAGGAAGAGATAACAATCGTAAACACCTATGCACCAAATATAGGAGCACCCACCTATATAAGACAAATTCTAACAGATATGAAAAATGAAATAAGTAGCAACACAATCATAACAGGGGACTTTAACACAATATTGTCACAAAGAGATAGATCAACTAGACAAAATATTGGGAAAGAAATAACAGAACTTAACCAAATGTGTGAACATACAGACTTAGTAGACCTTTACAGAGTGTTCCACCCAACAGGATCAGAATACACATTCTTCTCAGCTGCACATGGGACATTCTCTAAAATAGACCATATACTAGTACATAGAACATGTTTACATAAATGCAAAGGAATTGAAATTATCCCATGTATACTATCAGACCATAGTGCAATGAAATTGGAAATTAATGACAAAAGAAAACACAAAAACTCCATAAACAGTTGGAAATTAAATAACATTCTCCTGAACAACCAACGAGTCACAGATGAAATCAAAGTAGAGATTAAACACTATTTACAAACAAACAAAAATGGAGATACAACCTACAGGAATCTGTGGGATGAAATGAAAGCAGTCCTCAGAGGGAAATTTATAGCAATGAACTCTCACTGCAGGAAAACAGAACAAGCACAAATAAACAATCTCATGCTGCACCTCAAGTTCCTCAAAAAAGAAGAGCAAGTCAAATGCAGAGCCCAAAGAAGGCAAGAAATTATAAAGCTCAGAGCAGAAATTAAAGCAATGGAGACTAAAAACACAATACAAAGAATTAATGAATCAAAGAGTTGGTTCTTTGAAAGAATAAATAACATAGATAAACCCCTAGCCAACCTTATCAATAAAAGGAAAGAAAAACCTGAAATAAATGCAATAAGGAATGAAAGGGGTGAAATCACTAGAGATCCTGAAGAAATTCAGAAGATCATCAATACCTACTTTGAAAATCTTTACTCTCATAGGATGGAAAACACAGAGGAAATGGACAGATTTCTAATACATATGAATTACCAAAGCTGAATGAAGAAGATATAAAAGTCCTGAATAACTCAATATCAGCCAGAAATTGAGAATGTAATTAAAAACTTGCCAAGGAAGAAAAGCCCGGGTCCTGATGGATTCACAGCTGAGTTCTACAAGCAATTTAGGGAAGATTTAACAACAATTCTCAAACTCTTTAATGAAATTGAAAGGGAAGGAATTCTCCCCAACTCATTCCTGGAGGCAAGTATTATTCTGATAACAAAACCAGAGAAAGACCCAACCAAGAAAGAGAACTACAGACCAATCTCCCTAATGAATATAGATGCAAAAATTCTCAGTAAAATACTAGCAAACAGAATACAACAAGTCATCAAGAAGGTTATACACCATGACCAAGTGGGAGTCATACCAGGAATGCAGGGATGGTTCAATATATACAAATCAATCAATGTAATACACCATGTCAATAGAGCCAAGGACAAAAATCACATGATCATCTCCATCGATGCAGAAAAAGCCTTCAATAAAGTCCAACACTCAATCATGTTGAAAACCCTACAAAATACAGGAATACATGGCCTTTACCTAAAGCTGATCAAAGCCATCTATGATAAACCAATAGCTAACATCATACTAAATCGTCAAAAATTGAAAGCTTTCACTTTAAAATCAGGAACAAGACAAGGATGTCCACTGTCACCACTCCTGTTCAATATAGTTCTGGAAATATTGGCTAGAGCAATTAGACAAGAGAGAAAAATAAAAGGAATAAGGATAGGAAAGGAAGAAGTGAAATTGTCATTATTTGCAGACGATATGATACTCTACATAGAAGACCCCAAAAACTCCAATAGGTTCATGGATTTCATAGTCAAATTCAGTAGTGTAGCTCCATACAAAGTTAACACTCAAAAGTCAATAGCATTCCTGTACACAAGTAACAAACAGACTGAGAGAGAAATTAGGGAAACCACACCTTTCACAATAGCATCTGAAAAGATGAAATACTTAGGAATCAATCTAACAAAAGAAGTAAAAGACCTATACAGTGAAAATTATAGTACTCTGAAAAAAGAGATCAAAGAGACTATCAAAAAATGGAAAGATATTCCTTGTTCATGGATAGGAAGAACGAACACTGTGAAAATGGCCATACTCCCAAAATTGTTGACAAATTTAATGCAATCCCAATTAAAATACCACTAGTATACCTCACAGATCTAGAGAAAACACTCCTAAAGTTCATCTGGAACCAGAAGAGATCTAGAATAGCAAAAGCAATCTTGGAAAACAAAGGAAAGGCAGGAGGCATCACAATTCCTGACTTAAAATTATATTACAAAGTTACTGTGATAAAATCAGCATGATACTGGCACAAAAACAGACCTGAAGATCAGTGGAACAGATTAGAAGATACAGATACAACTACAAACACCCTCAGTCACCTTATCTTCAACAAAGGGGTCAAACATGTTCAGTGGAAGGAAGATAGCCTCTTTAATAAATGGTGCTGGAAAAACTGGCTTTCCACATGCTGAAGACTAAAACTAGACCCATGTCTTTCACCATGCACTAAATTAAAGTCAAAATGGATCAAAGATCTACATATTAAAACAGAAACACTAAATTTATTGGAAGAGAAAGTAGGTAAAAATCTTGAAGACATTGGGGTAGGTGGAGAGTTCATGAACAAAAACTAAACCTCACGGGAAATACTTCAAAGAATCAACAACTGGGATGTCATCCTATTAAAAAGTTTTTGCACATCTAAAGAAATCACCAATAAAGTAAAAAGAAAACCCACAAATTGGGAAAAAATTTTAGCTAACTACCCTTCAGACAAAGGACTTCTATCTAGGACATATAAAGAATTAAAAAAATCAAGCCCCCCCAAATTCAAAGACCCAATCCAAAAATGGGCATCTGAGATGAATACACACTTCTCTAATGAAGAGAAACTAATGGCGAATAAATACATGAAAAAATGTTCAACATCATTAGTCATCTGAGAAATACAAATTAAAACAACACTGAGATTCCATCTCACCCCAGAAAGAATGGCTATCAACAAGAAATCAACCAATAACAAATGCTGGAGAGGCTGTGGGGAGAAAGGAACCCTACTCCACTACTCGTTGGAGTGTAAATTGGTGAAACCACTGTGGAAATCAATTTGGAGAGTCCTCACAAAACTAGGATTGGAAGTGGCATTTAACCCAGCTATTCCTCTTTTGGGTATTTTCCCAGAAGAATTACAGACATCATACCACAGCAATATATGTGCACCCATGTTTATAGCAGCACAATTTGTTATGGCCAAATCTTGGAAACAACCCAGATGCCCATCCACTGAGGAATGGATAAAAAAGTTGTGGTATTTTTATACAATGGGGTATTACTCAGCTATTAAAAAAGATAAACTTGAGGCTTTTGTAGGTAAATGGATGCAACTAGAGACCATACTCATAAGTGAAATAAATCAGACCCACATGTGTAAACATCATATTGTTTCCTTGGTGTAGGAACCTGAAATACTAGGTAAAACTCAAAACATACAACAGATGAGAGGAAAGGGAAAGAAATTGCTCAAAGGAAGGAATGACTGGATGAGGGAAGGAAGAAAAAAGAAAGAAAGAAGGCAAAACATAAATATATATATATGAATAGCTGCGATGACTATATTGCTGCTGTCTGATGGTGTACTGATATGAACAGTTAATGCTCACAATTTTTTATGTTCTGATTGAGTTTGCATGCTTGTGTCTGGTGGTCTGAGCAACTGATTTGAAGGTAACAATATGCAATGGAATTACAACTGTGAACTCCTCCTATCGTGTCTAGTGAAACTCTGTATTATCTCTAAGGTTTTATTGAAGAATTATTTTCTTATTCTCTTTAATGGTTTGAGCAATCTTTCATTCTTACATCTGATAATCTGAGAATGTAGTTGAGGACAGTGATATACAATGTAACAACCACTGTTGATTTGTATTAATTTATCTTGAGACCCTGTATCACTTTGAATGTTTTAGCTTTGATTTGTTTATTTTCATGATACTGGTATGCTGCTACTGTTCTATTT